GTCAATTTTACCCTTCTATCAAAATCAGAAAGCAAATTACAAGATCAACTTCAGATTAAGAGCTTCATGAATATAGAAAGGAAGATCATTAACAAATATTAGTAGAGCAGAACAATCAATATATAAAATGCTTCATAATCAAGCAGAATATTATCCCTGGGATGCAAAGTTGGATCGACATAAAAAAATCAATCAATGTAAGTCACTACGTGATCAGATTAAAGAGGGAAAAACTACATCATTATGTCAAAGGTATTAAAAACACTAGTTCTGACAAAATTCAAAATGCATTGAGAATAAACATTCTCCGTAAACTAGACATCAAAGACGTGACAAGCACGTTCTGAGGTGGTCTTATGACCAGACCTGAAGGTCATGCCTTTGTAATAATCTCCCTTTGAATGCTGAGTGCTGGTAGGACCTATGATTTGCTACTAATCCCTAGATTATGATAAACACGATGGCTGCCACTTCCCTAACTATGTTACATTTCACGATGCCAGCTTACTAAGGCACACACTCTCAGGTGCTGTCCTTGAGGAGAACCTACCATGCTGTGATGCGCACATGGGAAGGATTCCATGGCAGGGAACCACACACAGCCTTTAGCCCCAACAGTGGCCTGCAGGGGAAAGCCCACAGAAAGCGAGGGCTCTCAGCTTATTCACAAAGAAATGAACTCTGCCAACCACCTCCGTGAGCTCTGGAGGAAATTCTTCCCTAGTTGGGTCTCTTGATGAGAACACAGCCCACTCAAGCCTTGATTACAGCCTGGTGAAACTCTGAAGCAGAGAACCCAGATAAGCCATGTCCAGACTGTTGAACCACAGAAGTTGAGCTTGTTTTAAATGACTAATGTTTATTACAGTGCTAAATAAAAGTGTAACATACTAAGTATGTAGAATAAAAGTGCAATAACATAAGAAAAACTCTCTGCTCCTTCCTTTCTTGTGCTACCTGGCTCTGTCAATAATAATGTTACAGGAAGACCAGGTTAATTCTGTGTATTTTTAAGGGATGCAAGGTTGTCTTCACTTAGTGTAAGTTTGAATGGTTGGGTTTGGCTTTTACAGAGTATTCTATATAATCATTAGGATGCACAAATACCAGGTGTGCTGTATAATAAAGATCACATTAATTTTTCAGTTTAAAATATAAATATATCTTTTTTTAATCTGTTAATTTTGTGGTACTTTACTCCATAGCATTAGAAAACTAATACAGATTTTGGTATTTGTAACAAATTCTTATAAAAGTGGACTGGCATTGGAATCAAGTAGTAGTCACAGAATGGTGAACTTTAAAGAAAAAAATGTGATAGATAAAGCCTGAATTTCCTTGAGAAAATGGTGAACAGAAACCTAAACTTTAAATATTTTGCTGGAGAGGGCTCAAAGGAAGTGAATGGTTATTGGATATTTTTTCAGTATGATAAAGAGCATATATGAAGAAACAAACAATAACACATAATGGTGAAAGTCTACTTCCTTAAGATTGAAAATGACAAAAGAATGTTTGCTTTCATTTCTTATACTAAATGAGTAAAGGAGGCCCTAGACAAGAAAACCCAAGAAAAAGAAATAGCGCAATGTAAAAAATAATAAGGAAAATAATAAAAATAATAAAAGAAAACTCTTATTCACAGATAGTCTGACTGTCTACATAGAAAATATCCAAATCTGCTGAAAAAATCTAATAGAACTGATAAGTAAGTTTAGAAAGATTATACAAAAATCAAGTACATTTGTATACACTAGCAATAAACAGTTATAATAGTAAATCATTTGCAATATCACAAAAAACATGAAACAGAGTAAACTGAATAAACTGTGTAATATCTACATGCTGAATCTACAAAACATTGATGAAAAAATTTAAAGACTTGAAAAAACTATAGAGATATACTATGCTCAGAGATCAGAATGCTCAACATTTTTAAAGATATAAATTCTAATCAAATTCATCTACAGATTCAACACAATCCCTATCAAAATTCCATCAAGATTTTATATCTATAAAAATTGATGAGCTGATGATAAAATTTATATATGCAAACAAAGGACATAGAATAGCCCAAAAAATTATGATAAGAACAAATTTAAAGGAAGGGCCTAGATTGCCTGATTTTATGATTTATGGCAAAGCTATAGTGATTGAAACAGTATGGAATTGATGTAAAGACAGGTGTAGAGATTAATCAAACATAACAGAAAACCCCAAAATGGACCTAAACTTACACAATCCACTGATCTTCAACAAAATTAGAAGGTAATTCTCTGAAGAAAGGGTAATCTTTCAAGCATCTGATATAGCAACAATTGGATTTACACATGGCAAAGAAATGAATTCTGACCCTTAAACTTTGCAGATATACAAAAATTAACTTTAAATGGATCATAAACTAAAGTGTAAAACTGAAAGTTTGAGAGGATTTAGCAAAGATCTCTTATCTAGAAAACTAGGTTATAATATTATTAACTAGGACTTCTTCAAAATAGAAAACTTTGAGGGCACTATTCAGGATATGAAGAGATAAGACAGAATTGTAACAAATATTTGACAAAAATCTTGTATCTAACATATATAATTCTTATAAAAAGTCAAGTCCACAAAAATAAATCAAAAATTTGAATCACTACCACAAAATATACATTTTATAAATAAGTATATGAAAAGATGTTAGTTAATTAGATATTAAAACTGTAAAGTAAAACCACAATGAGCTATCACATATACTAGACTGGCTTAAATTAAAAAACAAACCTGATAGTACCAAATGATGACAAAAAGGAGAGACAACTGAAACTCTAATATATTCCAGACAGAAACACACAATTTGATAGCTGTTTCAGAAAGCAGTTTGGAAGTTTCTTATGAGGTTACACAGGCTGGTACCATACTGCCCAGAAAAACCACTCTTAAGTGTTTAAGCAAGATAAATAAAAATATGCTCATGCAAAAACCTGTACATGATTTAACTAGCAGTAAGCATAATGGCCAAACATTGGAAAAAAAATCTAGGTGTCTATCAACTAACATGTACACAAATTATGCTATCTCCACACAACAGAAATCCTCCAGCAATAGAACTAATAATAATGATATCTAGCAATTTTGGTTACATTTCAAAAATTATTATGTTAAGTAAAATAAACCAGACAAAAAGTATTACACTTATCATTTATATAATATTTTAGGAAAAGGCAAAAGTATGAGGATAGTTATCACATTACTGGGTGCTTGGGCTGTGCATACTTTTTGGGATGTTTAAAGTAGTCTATCTTCATCATGGTGATGGTAACATGATGCTATATATTTCATTAAATCAAACATCTAAATGAGTAAATTTAACTTGCATATCTGTGGAAAACTTTAAAATTAATATGCTACTTAAATTTAATCTATTGAGTAATTTTTATAAATTCCATAAAAATGTTTAATGTTTATAGGGTTGAGCATGTTTCGATGAAATAGGTAATATTTTTCATCTTCTTAAAAGTTGAACATATGAAAGAAATTCAGAGCCATAAAATAAAACTACAGACTTTAAACTTCTTAGAAAGATATAATTTATCATCTGCCTTCCACTCCTAAAGATCTAGAGTGATTCCTAAATAGGATGATCTATTAGAATTAAAGATGTAGGATGAGAAACACAATTCATCATCTACCCTGGCTTGTATAACTCAAATCCAATACATATTTGTAGTCCTTGTTTGAAAGACTAGTAATATCCATATCACTGAAATTTTGAGAAAATTGCATTTCATCTAAGAGCTTTGGTTAGGGTTTTGCTTTTTTCCCTCCATATTCTATTTTTTTAGGTATAAAGGTTATAACTTTCCAACACATTTTATCACTTGATGTTCCACACTTTTTATAAAAGGCCTCAAATTATTCCACAAACCACTCACTGAAAAACCTCCTTCAAAACTTATACATCCTCTTCCATGCCTATTTTCATGTACAGTCTCTTGCTAGAAACCACAGTAAGCAAATGGATCACTTTCCTCATTTATACTGGTGCAAAATTTCTCTTCAACTTTACTCTTACAGACCTTTATTTCTTTGGTGAACAACACTTCAAAGCATTCATTGAATGCTTTTCTCCTGGGTTCCTCCTTGTCTACCCAACTTCACATGGACAAAGGACTGGGGAATTTTATTCAAAGCCTATGGTTGATTAGCTTTGCGTATTTAAAATACCAACTTAGACTGAAGATTCATTATCTGTATCCCAATACCACTGATTTGTATGAATTTCTTCCAAATATTACAATAACTCTCAGCACTTCCTAGATAGTTTCCACGCCCACTTGGCTTTAACACTTGAGTTCATGACTCACCCGTGGTTCTGAAGATCTCTGTCGTGACATCATACCCTCAACTTGCAATATGTTCACTGGCTCAGCCTTCTTTTCCTATGGAATGTGTCAACTAACAGACCTTGAATCACTAATCCTCTTTTTTTCTGATGACAGTATCATTACCATTCATATCTTCTACTCTGCAATCCTTACGGGATCATTTGCTCTTGTTGCAATCTGTAGTACCCAAGAACTTCCTATGTCTAGTCATACTCAATTTCACTGAACTACAGAGCTAGTTTAATGCATTTAGCAATACCTTAAAATCTTGCACTGCCTTGAATGTCCATGAGGTCTTTGATGCTAACTTCTCATCATGGCCATATAAATAAATATATCCTGAGTTCTGACTCTCAGAAGTGCAACGCTGCCTGAGAACTACAGAAAACTAGTGATAGTCTGCTGCAGAGTCATGCCAAAATGTGCCGACCGGGCCCTCAGTCCCACTCCGCGATGCTTTTAACCATCTTTTGTGGAACGCTTCTGATCTGCTTATGTCTTTCCCGTTATTTTATTAAATGTTATATCAGCACTGAATTTAAAATTGAATTTGTATGTAAATTCCATCTACCTTCATACACCATTATCCAATGCAAACATAAATACAAATAAAATGTAATCATTTATACTCACTTAGAGATGGGGTTGACGCTGGCTTCAATAACTGTTAAACACTTACAGCACTTTATGTTTTCTGGGAATTCTTGTACACCTAAAAGGTGAGAAACAAGTACATGAAGATGTTTCCACAAATACTCTTCAAAGTATACTTATAACATTACTAATAAGTAAGTAAAACTATGAGTCAATAGATAGCCTATCAACTAGAATGAATATTGAAATAGGAATGATAATGTATTAATGTCACATAATAGATTCATATTCATATGTACATATATTTTTCTAATAAAAGTTGCATGTTAAATGATATTTGGTGATAGTAATAGTTGGAAACTGAATATAAAATTGAAGACAATTATACTGGTATGAGATAGTTCTTGGCTCTTTAGTAATTTAAATAAATAAAAATAAAAGTAGCTTATGCTAATAGTTATTATAATGCCTTGCCAGGAGAAGGGAAACCCCATAGATACAAAGAAAATGGAAAATAAAAACCTTTGGTTCCAGGAATCATTTTAGAAAATTGGGAAGAAGAAACATACTATACGAAGAATACTTAAGGACACATTCTAGAAATGACAGATATTCTCAAACTAATACACATAGGGTTGTAACAAATTTTATGCAATTCTTTCACAATTGTAGAGTATCACTCTGCATCTAAAAGCGCTTTGAAGAGATGAGGTGCCCTTCCTTGGACCTTCCTCCAGCATCTGAGGTAGTCCCCCCAACTAATTGCCCTTGGAGAATTGCTCATTTCTTGTCACAGCTGTGTAACAGGCTATGTGACAGAAAAGCACAAGTTTGTCTATGAAACAAAAAATCAGTAGGCCATAAACCTAATTCATGAGCGTAAAGATCAGAGGGATGAAAGATGAGGGGACATTCCAATCAACTTATATGAATGCACCAAACATAGTAGGCCATGCAAAAGTTAGAAGGAAAGATAGCTGTGTAAACTACTACTATATGTTTGCAGTAATACTTTCTCTCCATTTTTTGCAACTATTTTCACAGATCTTAAGTTTCCATAAAGAATTGGCCTTGCTCAGTCCCTCACATCTGTTAGAAAGATAAGGAACCTTTTGTGGCAGTAGATTGCTGACTTTTTGATAATGGATGCTCAAGAAACAAGTGATTCCACTCTCTAAGATTCCATTAATACAGACCCCTGTGTCTGCAAAACCAGAAAGCCCAGCAAGGCGGCAGGAGGGCAGCCAAATACAAGACAGGTCATTCATCACCTCCAAGTAAGGACACACAGGAGGGGACAGGATGTCTCTCAACCTGTTTCTCCCTCTTTGAAATTTCCATCAGGAATTATGCTGAAATATATTGGCTTCCATAGAAGAACCTAAGGAAAGTCATGAGCTCCATTTTGTACAAATTCAGCAAGAAAGCCAGATTCTCTCTTCTATTTTGGAAGGCCATAATTCCTCGGGCTGCCTTCATTAAGTGAACATTAACAAATGGGAACCAAGTCAACAAAGTGGCCTTTGAGGCATCCTCAACATTTTCCCTTAGTATTTGTATTTACCCTGTATACTATATGCAAAAAAGAGCAGAACAGTATTTTTTTCTCTGTAGCTTTTTCTGTTAATTGTTCAATGTGGGCTCATTTCATGCTGTTATGTCTCATGTCCTATGTTCACAGGTTCCTATCTTAGGATAATATTTCCTTAAATTAAATGTAAACCAAGAAGTAAAAGCAGAAGTAAATGAAAATATGATTTTAAGGAAAGGACTGCATCTCCTTTTCTTCCACTGCAAATGTAACTGCACACTGTGGCACAAGTGGTATTATATTATTTGTTTATAAACCTGTATATATTGTTCACAATTGTAAGATGACTTGGAGCAATCTGTTGGCATAAGACAGAATCCCAGCTTTAACTCAACTGGATAACTCCAGATAGGTCACTTAAACTCTCAGTGTATTAGTTTCTGACTGAAAACTGATGATTGTATGAGTAATTTTATCATAGAGTCACAATGGCACATTACTTCATCTTAAAAAAGACTGAGACAATCCTGACATTCACAACAATGTGAAGGACTTGGAGGACATTATTCTGAGTGAAATAACCCAAAACAGCAATATAATTATTACATCATATAATAGGTACAGGGGAAACCTAAAAAAACTGAACTCATAGAAATAATAAGTAGGATGGTGGTTACCAGGCACTGGGTGTGGGGTGGGATGAGGGACAGTTGGTCAAAGGATAAAAGCCTTCAGTTGTAAGATGAATAATTCTGGATGTATAATCTGTATGATGGAAACTAGTTATTCAGACCAAATTGCATACTTAAAAACCATCAGATTTTTTTAAATTGAAAAAAGTAAATTCAACACAAGTGAACTGTGCATTTTGATTGAACAAGGCCAAATGCCAACTGTAAAATAAAGACACTGCCAAAAATACTTCAAAAGATTTTTTCACTTGGACATATCAGGTCTACTACTAAAGAGATAAATTTCCCTAAAATATGCTATTGCACACACAATTTTTTGAAGAATAGTAGTCATGGGTTGCAAAGAAATAAGAGTGTATCTAATATGGTCTGAATGTCCAGGTCCCACCAGAAGTCGTGGCTGAAATCCTGACCCCAAGGACTTGACACTAGGAGGTGGAGCCTCTGGAGAGGAGCAGGTTGTGAGGATGTAGCATTCATGATTGGGATGAGTGTCCTTAGAACAGAAAGTCAGAGTGCTGTCTTCCACCATGTTACATCTTCTACCATGTGAGGTCACTGGGAGTAGGGATCACGCAGCCATCTGTACCTCCTTTCTAAGGGCACTGGGGACATTCCCCATGAGTGCTGTTTGTGACACAGGTCCTCACCAGGCAGGATGGACCACAGCCTTGATCTAGTTCATAGGCCACACAATTGGTAGTATTTTGTTAGCCTCCAAAGGACATTAAATAACAAACAAAACCAAAATCAAAACAACAAAAAACCCCCAAAGCACTTATTCTCTAAATTCAGATCAAATTCAGATAAATGAATGGCTATCGCTGGATAAGCTTCCTAGTGCCAATCCTACCTATTGTGGGAATTTTAAAGAAGAATGAAGTTTTGCTGCAAGTTGGAGGCCCTGGCAAATAAATAACGGTCCCTGAGAATTTAGGGAGAAATCTGAGGAGCTGCATTGACATTCCCAGCCAGTTGTATTAAAGAGTATTTAAGAAGAAAAATACTCAGTCAACCTGCTGAGAATACTAGAAGAAAAGTCAACAAATCTTTAAACTTAGTAACTAGGCTGAAAATAAAATGTATAGTTAGAAGTAATAAATTCCTACATTTAAAAAATGTATTTTAAAATATTCAAATTCTTCATGTTTTTCTTTTGCATATACCATTTTTCAAGAAGCTTTAAGGAATATTTGCTACTGAAATTACATATATACATCTTTTTGCTTCCTGGCTGCCATGGTTGAGCAGCTTTCCTCTACTAGGCATTTCTGTCATGTCATTTCTGCTGTGGAGCCTGCCAATCATGAACTAAACTCTCTGAAACCATAAGCCTAAGTAAACCTCTCCTCCTTTAAATTGAGTATGTATTTTGTCCCATGACAGAAAGTGTCTAATATGCAAAACTGGTATCAGAGATGGCATTGTAGCTGTTACTATACCTGATCATATGGTTCAGAAACATTTGGAACTGGTTTATTGGAAAAGTTTGGAGAATAAAGCTGTTGAAAGCCTAAAATGCTGTAAACAGAGTTTGATCAGCCATTATGATCAGAGCTCAGAAGACCAAAATCCTGACAGGAATGTGGATAGTAAAGAGCAGTCTCAGGAGGTTTCAAATACAAATAAGTATTCTATTGGGAATTATATTAGAGGTTATTTGTGTTATATTCTGGCAAAGAATTTGTTTACATCTTGTCTATATCCTAAGACTTTGTATGAGACTGAATTTAAATGTAGTGGGCTAATGATGCTGGAAGGGAAATTTTCAAGGCAGTCCAGAGTTCAGGCTGTGGAATGGATACTGCTGGTGTTTTTAACCACAACTATAATGAAAATCAGTAGTGAAAAGCAGAGCCAAAGGACTTGAAAAATTTGCAGGCCAACTGTGCAAAGCTGGGTATACAAAGGTATTGTTGCTGAATAGATTAACACCACTGAAAAAGAAGTCAAGTTACCAGGTGTGGTGGCACACACTTATGTTGCTAGCAGTCTGGAAGGGTGAGGCAGGATGAATGAAAGTTGGAGCCCAGCCTGGACAACCTAGCAATTTAATGAGACCCTGTCTCAAAATAAGAAAGAATTTAAGAATGGCCAAAATCCTGGATTTAATCCCCAGTATCACACACACACACACACACACACACACACCCACACACCCTTCTAGACCAGTGAAGGTAAGCTTTTAGAGACAAAGTGCTCAAAGTGTGATCCAAAACTCATGTACTTATTGCAAAATGCTAACACTGCAAATAGACTGAATACTGAAGTTTTAGTTTAGAAAAACAACTGTTATCTGATACTCAGCTGCTGGAGTGACTTGGCTAGCATACTAACAGGGCTCTGGGTGCCTGCTGCAGCACAAATGCTATAGGTTCACCACCACTGTTCTAGGCCATGTCCCCAGTGACTTACCTCCTCCAAGTGGGTCCCAACTCCTAACAGCACATTCCACTATATCCCCAAGATCCAGTCACCTGAAAACCCCACACCTAAACAAATGAGATTTTGGGGGATGTTTTGCATCCAAACCATAAAGTTCTGCATCTGCTCCCCAAAAGGCTCATATCCATCTAACTATGCAAAAATGCAAGAATTGTCCCAGTCTTAACACCGCCAGCACTGCTGAAAAGTCCAAGTCCAAAGTCTCCTCTGAGACTCAAGGCAAACTCTTAGCTGTGAGCCCCTATAAATGCAAATAAGTTAAATACTTCCAACACACAATGCCACGGGGGTAACGTCTCCCCCAAGAGGGAGAAATAAGAGAATAGAAAGGAATAAGACCAAAGCAAGACTGAAACTCAGTAGACAAACATCAAACCCTATAGCTGCATTTTCAGGATCCAGGGTACGTAGGGGCAAGATATGAATTCCAAGGTGCCTGGATTACAGGTG